GTGCAGAGAGCCTCTCCGGGGAGGAACTGTGCCCATCCTCAGCGCCTGGAGCCCCCAAGGTTCAGCCTGCCACCCCTGGGCTGGGCAGCAGGATCCGGGCCATCCAGGAGTCTGTTGGGAAGGTGGGTGCTGAGGGCTGGTCTGGGGTGCTCAGAGAGGTGGCCCAGAGTGGGAGCTGCTGTGCTGGGCTTGAGCGCCGGCGTCTGAGTGCGGGCCGTGCTCTTGCTGCTCACTGGCAGGGCGGCCCTGGGCAAGTCCTTTCCCTCCTGTGGCCCTCAGTTTCCTCACCTGTGGCCTGGGTGTGTGGGGGCAGTTGACTGCATGTGGGCCCCCCTTGAGGTGTCCGGCTGACACAGCTCACCTACACGTCCTTGTCGCTGAACTTGCCACTCTCCTGGGAGCTGGCGGTTGGCTGGCGGGTGGGTTTGGGTCGGCTTCATCCTCTGGGTGGGGAGGTTGGGTCCTGAGGGGGAGGTCTGTATCTCCAGGTTGCTCCATGAGCCCAGGCTTCTTGTCTGTCCTGTTGGGCTCCTTCCTCGTTGCCAGGGTCCCTCTGGGTGGGGAGGCAGGACTTGCATCTGGGAAGGCGGTGATAGGGGACCCTTCTGGGAGCACAGCGTGGGAGGCTGATGTCTCTGGCCCGAGAGTATAGTGTAGCCTCGATCCTCCAAGCAGAAGCACTGCCTGCTGGAGCTGGGCGCTCGGGGTGTGCGGGAGCTGGTGCAGAACGAGATCTACCCCATCGTCATCCATGTGGAGGTGACTGAGAAGAATGTCCGGGAAGTCAGGTGAGGCAGGTGGGCGGGTGGGGCAGCGGGCAGGGCACTCAGACCCCAGAGCTTGTGCCTTGAGGATGTCTCTCCCTCCCCTCTCTCTCTCCCTCCCCCACTCTCTCCCTCCCCCACTCTCTCCCTCCCCCCCCCCCCCCCCCCCCCCCCCCCTCTCCCCCCCCACTCTCTCCCTCCCCCACTCTCTCCCTCCCTGCCTCTCTCCCTCCCTGCCTCTCTCCCTCCCTCCACCCTCCCCCTCCTTCTCCCCTACCCCTCTGTCTCCCTCCCCACTCTCTCTCCCTCCCCACCTCTCTCCTCCCTCCCTCCCCTCCCTCCCCCTCCCTCTCCCCTCCCTCTTCTCCCTCTCTCCTTCTCCCCTACCCCTCTCTCCCTCCCCCATCTCATTCTCCCCTACCCCTCTCTCCCTCCCCCATCTCATTCTCCCCTACCCCTCTCTCTCCCTCCTCCTCCTTCCCCCTCCCTTCCCCTCTCTCCCTCCCTCTCCCTCCCCTTTCTCTCTCCCCCATCTCTCTCCCTTCCCGGTCTTTCTTCCCTACCCCTCTCTCCCTCCCCCCTCTCTCCCCCATCTCTCTCCCTCCCCCCTTTCCCCCTCCCCGTCTCCTCCCCTACCCCTCTTTCCCTTCCCCCCTCCCCCTCGCTCCTCCCTTCCTCCCCCCCTCCTCCCCTACCCCCCTCTCACCCTTCCCCCCACCTCTCTCTCTCTATCTCCATCTGCCATCTGTCTCTCTTGAGTTGTCCGTCTTCTCTCTCTGACTCTTCCCCCTTTGTCCGTCCCTGTCTCCTTGTCTCTGTGTCCGTCTTGGTCCCCCACTTTGACCACCGCCCACTCCTCTCTCGGCAGGGGTCTGCTGGGCCGGCCAGGCTGGCGGGACTCAGAGCTGCTGAGGCAGTGCCGTGGCTCAGAGCAGGTGCTCTGGGGGCTGCCCTGCTCCTGGGTGCAGGTGCCCGCCCATGAGTGGGGCCACGCAGAGGAGCTGGCCAAGGTGGTGCGTGGCCGCATCCTGCAGGAGCAGGCCCGCCTCGTGTGGGTGGAGCGCGGCAGCAGCAGAGGCTGCCCCGGCAGCAGTGAGGCCTGAGGTTCATCTGATACCTGCAGCTTCTTCCCAAGTCAGGGGGGACCCTGGTGTCTGCGGTGCAGCTGGGCCCTCCCACCCTGAGCCTTCCTAGACCCTTGGACTCTCAGACACAGGGCCCTTGGCTCTGGCATCTCACCCCCAAGACTGTCTCTGGCCCTGCCGAGCCTGCAGGAGCCCCGGGACAGAGCGCCCATTCCCCTCTACTTGCTGCTCTGGGCCTCCCCACATGTCCTGGGGTCTCTACATTCCCACTAGTGGGTCTCACATGTGTGTCTGTGTCTTCTCCTTAAACACTCACCCTGGAGTCTGTTCTCACACCTGTGCACAGGTTTGCACACTCAAGTTCTCACGGGCAGGCTCAGGTCTGTCCCGCTGCCCTGGGCACGAGATCTCCCGAGGACCTGGGCCTGTTCTGCTCCCAGGAGCGCCGAGCCTGTTACCGCATGACTCCTGCCATCCAGCTCAGGTTCCTCATGGATTCAGCCATGCATGGACTGGGGGCTTCCCTGGCCCACGGTGCCCCTCGTGTCTCCTCACGTGGGTGTCTGTGGTTCTCTCCTGTGTAAATGTCACGCCCCACCCGTTTCATGTGGGCCCTAACACGCGTGCGTTCCTGGTGGGCACACGCAGGACCGTGCCTCACAGGGCCCACTCCCTGCCTATGCCTCCCTCTTGTGGGGCCGGGGAGGGCGGCTGCTCTGTCATGAGAATGTACGGCCCGTGGGTGATTAACGGGCCTTTTTCACTCAGAAGCTGCACATTATGGAACATTAAACACTTTTGTCATAGATGCTGGTGGCCTTCTGCTCACATGTATCCCTGGCCTGGGCCCCCGCCACTCTCCTCATTTGTCTCCCAGCTCAGGTGGATACCACCTTTCAGGTCCCCGCTTGCCCATTGGGAGGGTCAGATTTCCTGCCTGCCTCTTTCCAGGGCCGCCTGCCATCTGTGCTGGCGTCACCTTACCTGCCCCTGAATGACCAGAGTAGGGCCCCACAGATGGGCCACCCCAGTGCTCAGCCCTGCCCACAGCTGACCATCAGAGGAGTGTCCCCCGGAGTGGAGCATCAAAACTGGCAGCGTGTGGCCTCAGACTGAAGGGACCTGGCTGCTGAGCCCGGGAGCTCAAGAGCAAACCCTCGGTATGCACGCAGGTTCCTGAGACAGCTCTACTAGAGAAAGGATGGTTGCTCCCACTGGGAGCAATCCAGGCAGCCTTACTGGAGGAGGTGCCACTTGAACTTGGGAGTTGGGATTCCTTCCTTCCAGAACCACCTATTGGACCTCTGTGTCCAAGTGCAGGTGACTGTCCTCAGCCACAGTGAGGAGCCTGGGCAGGCCCCTGGGGCTTAGGGTGTGGGTGTACTAACTACGTAGGGTAGCCTCAAAGGCAGAAGCTCAGAGGCAGCACGGGTTGGATCTGGCTACCTTAGATGGGGTCAGAAATGAGGTTGGGAAGGGTAAGTCCAGGGGTGGAGGGTTGGGAGCACAGGGGAGCTTCAGCTGTGCCCTGGAGGCTGTGGGAGCCTCTGGGGATGCGGGAGCAGGGTTGTGGGAGTTGACACAGAGAGGGCTGAGGCCGACGGGGGGCAGGGGCAGTGGAGGAGAGAGGAGCAGACAGGAAGGAGGGGCTCTGTGGCCTCCAGGGATGGGTTTGGATCTCCATGTTTGACAAGAAAAATGCTTAAGAAGGGGTCAGGGCTGGGATTTGGGGTGGTGGGTGGAGAAGGGAATGGGGAAGCTGAGAGAGGGGATTGGGGGGCCACAGCTCCATCTTTAGTGGGAGGAGACAAGGAGTGGGTGTAGAGGAGAGGTGGTGAGGGTCTCAGAGACTGGACCACGCAGGATGACGGTGCCTGGGTATGGAGGCCAGGGTGGACGGTGGGCCCAGGCTGTCGCGGGAACTCAGAGAGGCTTTCCCAGGATGGAGTACAGGCTGCGCAGGGCACTGTAGTTTGGTTGAAAACCAAAGCTCTGGTCAGCCAGGTGACCCTGGCAACTCGGATGACCTCTCTGGGCCCAGGGCCCCACCCCGTGAAGTGGAGGCCAGGATGGTAGAGTGAGCGTGGAGGTATGGATTGGCCACGGCTCGGTGAGCACGTGTGGCTGGGGCTGAGCCACTGCTTGGGAAACAGCTCTTCCCACTCTCTCCACGACAGGGTGTCTTTAACAAGGTGCAGATTGGACCTTGAGGCCTGCCAGTCTGTCACCACTGGGGTAGGGGCTGGAGAGTTGGACCCTGAGTGGCAAAGGCAGTGCCGTGGGGGAAGGGCAGCCTCCCTGCATGGGAGTCAGTGGCAATGCCCCTTTCCACTCCAGGCCTTCCCAGGTGTTGACCCTCCCATTCCCCCAGCCTCGTCCTCTCTACCTCAGGCGGTGGCAGTGGGCTTTCAATTTACCCTTAGCTGTGCTCCTCTGCTCATCTGACACCTGCCTGGGCTGCTCTCCCTGCCTGAATCTTCCTGAACTTTGAAGCCTGGCTGAGATACTACCTCCATGAAGCCCACCACCAGGTCCTCCCAGCCCTTGGGACTTCTCCTGGGCCATGCCATGTTCTGCCTTGTGGCAGGACGAGGGCATCTGTGTGGCTGTCTCTCAACGTCTGTGGCTCCCTGGGCATGGAAACTGGGCTGTGCGCATTTGGGTACATGAACCTCCCCCTGCCCCACAGTGAGCCTGGCCCAGTGCTTGGCCTGGGGACATGCAAGGGCCCTGTGACTTGGCTGTTACCCTTTCTATGAGGTGGAGAAGCCCACTCATCCTGTAATCGTTGCCAAGTCATATTTTGGTCCCCATTTCAGAAATGATGAAGGTAACTTGCCTAGTCACACAGCCAGTGAGTGGCGCAGTTGGATTTTTTTTTTTTTTCTTTCTGAGATGGAGTTTTACTCTTGTTGCCCAGGCTGGAGTGCAGTAGTAACATCTCGGCTCACTGCAACCTCCGCCTCCCTGGTTCAAGTGGTTCTCCTGCCTCAGCCTCCCTCCTAGCTGGGATTACAGGCGCCTGCCACAATGCCTGGCTAATTTTTGTAGTTTTGGTAGAGACGGGGTTTCACCATGTTGGCTAGGCTCATCTTAAACTCCCGACCTCAAGTGATCTGCCTGCCTCAGCCTCCCAAAGTACTGGGATTACAGGCGTGAGCCACAGCGCCCAGCCCCCAGTCAGGATTTGAACCTGGTCTGTGGAGCACAGAGCCTGGGATCATCACTAAGGCTGGCATCATCACCATTCTGAGAATATGGCCTGTGAAGGGGCCTGGCTGGGGGCTGGCCCATGAGAGGGTGATTCAAAGGGTTGGTTTTCCTTTCCTCTCCCCAAGCTGTCCTCATGCAGGGTTGAGCCCAGCAGGGCCAGTTCACTTCGCCAGCCACCTGGTACTTTGTTGTGTTGAATTAACATTGATTGAGTTATTGTCTGCCAAGCACTGTTCTAGGCACTGGGGATTAGGGACTCAGTGATCAAAAAAGAAATCCTGCCCTGATATTCTTATGGGGAGGACTGACAATAAGTAAATTAAACATACAGAATGTTGGAAGATGAAAAGCGTGATGGAGAAAACAGTGAAGAAGTGGCTTGGGAGGGACAGGCCTAGGGGGCTGGGAAGGAGGCGGCGAGGGGTTGCAGTGTTAACAACGTGGTCAGGGAAGGCCTCACAGAGATGGTGACCTTTGTGTAAAAACCAGAAGGGAGTGGGGGAGTGAGACGTGCAGGTCTCTAGGGAGGGGCCCAGGTGGGAACAGCAAGTGCCAAGGTCCTGTGGCGGCCGCATGCCTGGGCCAGCCAGGATCCCAGGGGTCTGGAGTGGAGTAGCAGGAGATGGGGTGGGAGTAACTTGGAGGCCAGCTCACACAGGGCCTTGTGGGCTGCTGTGTGCTTTTTGGCTTTTGTTCTGAAGAAAATGGGAGCCAGTGCAGGCCTTGAGTGGAGGAGGGAGGAGGTGTGAGTGAGCTTGTGCGAGACATGATGGAGGTGGTGGCTGGAGAAGGCCCTCTGTCTGTCCACTGGCTGGATGCTGGGAGAGAGGCAGCTCCAGAGACTGCGGAGTGAAGTCAGGTATGGGCTGGGGCACAGCTGGACAGGTACCCTCAGGGGACCTCCTGTGAACCCGAAGAGGACCAGACACCTGGGTTCCACCAGCTCTGTGGCTGAGTTGCTGGATTGTTTTTGTTCATTCTGTACCTTTGTGCCTTATGTCCTCAGCTATAAACTGGGAATGACAGTCCTAGTGCTGTTGTGAAGACCACAGGAACTGAGCAAACAACTGTGGGAGCCCCAAAGGTTAAGAGGTTATCACGGAGGGCTTCCTGGAGAAGGGAACCCTTAAGCTTTGAAGTCCAGATAGAATTCAGCCTAGCGGAGGGAATGTGGGTGAGATGTGGGTGAGACTGGTGGAAGATGGGAGAGCATCCCGGAGGAAACCGGTGAGCAAAAGCTGGGGGCTGGATGAAGCAGGACACCAAAATAATGGGTGTTGAATGGGCCAAGCTGACAGCTCTCTGCAGGAGTGGACGGTGCCGGAGGACCCTCTCTTCCACCAGGCACGGAGGGTTTGCTGTGACTTCCTCCCACCGCAGCAGCTGGCAGAGCCGGGGCTGCCCCTTCTGCTGGTGCCTCCTTTCAGCCGCGTCTGTCTGGGGTTCCCTTCGTCTGGCCCCGCCCCTCGGGCTGAGCGGGGCGGGGCCAGGCGGTCCCGGAGGCTGCGGCAGGCCGGACAGCGGGAGCAGGTGGAGGGCTGGCGGCGGTCGAGATCGTGCTGCCATGGCTCAGCCTCTGGGTCCAGAGCCTCAGCTCCTACCTCTTCCCTCCTTGCCAGCCCCTGATGTCTGCCAGACTTTTGCCTCTGCTGGAGCCCCTGCCTGACCAGCTTCCCCTCCCTGTCTGGTTGGGATTTGGGGGCTGAGCTGTCTGGGGTCCCAGGGCCAACCAATGCAGTGCCGGCTCCCGCGGGGCCTGGCTGGAGCCCTCCTCACCCTGCTGTGCATGGGGCTCCTGTGTCTGCGGTACCACTTGAACCTGTCCCCGCAGCGGGTGCAGGAGACCCCCGAGCTGAGCCAGCCGAGCCCGGGGCCCCCTGAGCTGCAGCTACACGATGTCTTCATCGCAGTGAAGACGACCCGGGCCTTCCACCGCTTGCGCCTGGAGCTGCTGCTTGACACGTGGGTTTCCAGGACCAGGGAACAGGTGACAAGTGGGTGACATTGGGCCCTGGGAGTGTCCCCTGGCCTAAGGGGTTCTCAGAGGCCTTTCTACTGGGCTGGGGTCCCTGACTGCCTCATGGGAGAAGCTGCCTGCTACCTGCCTAATCTGGGACCCTCTTCCCCTCTCCTTATTCCGGGCTTCAGGGGCTGCCTGTGGTCCTGCCTGTGCCCTGTACTGGTCCTGACTCCAGGTCCATCCAGGTCCCTCCACTCCACCACTTTTGGGGGCCAGGCTGGGCCCCTGCTCCAGGCTCCCGGGTCCTTCCTGGGGGTCCTTCTATTCCTAGCTGCTCCCGTGAGGGCTTCACCCCCAGCCACCCAGACCCAGCCTGGCATCGGGGGTAATGGTGGATGTTGGGCAGCTGGGGTGGAGGCTTCCAAGAGGTCCTGACCCTGACCCGTGCCCAGGCCAGGCTGTTCCACCCAGGCCTTAGGTGCTGTCCTGCCCAGGCTCTGAGGGTGGGGGACTGGGGGAGAATCTCTAGGTGGGGTCTGTTCTTGGAGGAGGCATCCCTTCAGGCTTCCCGACAGCCCCTCCTGCTGTGCCTCTGCTGCCCTGGGTGTGCCGAGGCTGCCATGTCTGGTCTCCTGCGCTGGCTTCCTGTGGGCTGCTTCCGAGGCAGGGAAGGAGAGCGCATGCCACAAGGGTGGTGCCTGAGGCAGTGGTGGGCAGTAGGTCGGGGAGGCCTTAGTGAGGCAGTAGGTGGGATTGTGTGTGTGTGTACGCGTGCTCACACGCACGGAGCTGGAGTGTGCTAGATGTGCGTGACAAGAGGCGTGTCTGTCACATGGCTGCATGGCTCCGGCAAGCCAAGTCCCTTCCAGCCTTTCCCCTCCTCGCATCCAGTATCTTCCTTAAGCAAAGTCAGTGATGTCGGGTGTTAGGGACCGTTGATGGGGGAGGTGGAAAACGGGTACACACACACACACGCACACACACACACACACACACATCCGTCCCCTCTTTGGCGGCTGGCTCAGTGGGAGGAAGTGACTGAGTCTTTGGAGATAGTTGAGGCCTCCTGGAAGACCAAAAGGAGGGGGAGAGGATGGCTGGCAGAGGCCAGGCCCTCCTGGGGAGGGGCACCCTGCCCTGATTTCTGCCCTTATACTCAGGATTAACTCTTCCCCAACTGGCCCCCAGCACCCCAGCTCTTCTCTGGGCCCCACACGGCTTCTCATCTTGGGGAGATCCTGGTTCTTCCTGCGGAAGCCGCCAAGGCGGGCCCTCCCGCAGGCCTTCCTGTTTATGCGTCTGTGTACCCGGGAGCGTGGCCTCACGTGGCCCACGGCCCTTTCCTGTCTTGTCCCCATCACTGCGGTGCTGCCCTTGCCCCGGATGAGGAAACTGAGGCCAGAGAGGAGGAAGTGCTGGCTGGCGTGGTGTCACGCAGAAGGCCTGAGGGGGCAGTGCCCAGTGGGACCTAGAACCTTGCTCCTGGCTGGGTGCTTTTCTTGCCTGCTGAGACTTGGGAGCCCTGTGAGGCCTGGGTCACTGGGCTACAGGAGAGGGTCCTTGGCCTTCAGCCTGGGCAGCTGTGCCTGGCAGTACCAGGCCAGGAGAGGCAGGCAAGAACATCCCCTTCCCTGTCCCAAGCTTGATCCCACATGCGAATCAGGCGGTGGGGTGGGAGTGGGGGTGCTGGCAGCTCTACCGCCGCTCAGGGCTGTAGATCAGGCGAGTTGCTTGTTTCACCTTCACAGTAAGCCCCAGAGATCGGCTGTGATGACCGTGATGTTCCCGCCTTACAGTGCAAACACTGAGCAGGGTTCGGCCGAGGTGGGAGATGAATCCACTCAGCTGGACCCAAGGGGCGAGGGGCAGACTCTAGAAATCTTGTCCTTGAAAGAAGGAAGCATGCTGAGATAGAGGAGGAGGTGGGAGGACAGGGAGGCCCTCGCTCGCTACCCCACATCTCTCACCCTTTGGCTCACTTCTGTCTGTGACCTCGGCCAAGGCCCTCCCCTTTCAGCCCGCAGTTTCCCCGTCTGCACAGGGCAGGAGTGTCTGGACCGGGCCTGAGCTGGTTAACTGCAGCGCTGGGCGCCTGCCTGGCTGGTTAAGGGCAGTCGGGTGGCAGGTGGGTCTTGTGGCAGGGGCCGGGACTCGTGTGCTGGCCTTTGTCCTGGGCCGAGGGGTGGGCTGGGGGAAGCGGGTTTTGTGCTCAAGGGGAGCCTTTCTCCTCCCTTGTTGGGAGGAGACGTGGCAGCAGCCCCACACCTCCCCTCGTCTGCAGCAGATGGTCCCCGGCCACCCCTCCCCTGCCCTAGCAGCCTGCGTATCCCTTTGTTTCCCGCGGCTACCTGTGAAGTTTTCCCCATTGTCAGGTCTCCTCCTTAAACAAGTCAAATACAGCCCTTGGCTCCGAGGAAACTCTGCCCATTGCTCTGTGCCAACCTTAGGATTCCCAGGGACTGAAAGCACCAGCCTCACCGCCCTCTCCCGTGCCCCCGCCCCCTCTGGACCTGGGCTCGCCTTCCCGGCTCCCTCCTTCACTCTGCTCACGGCTGCTGTGTTTTGTTTAGTTTTGGTTTGGTTTTTGTTTTTTTTTGAGACAGAGTCTCACTCTGTTGCCCAGGCTGGAGTGCAGTGGCGCGATCCCGGCTCACTGCAACCTCCTTCTCCTGGTTTCAGTCGATCCTCAGCTTCCTGAATAGCTGGGACTACAAGCATGTGCACCACGCCTGGCTAATTTTTCTCTTTTTAGTAGAGATGGGGTGTTGCCATGTTGGCCAGGCCGGTCTTGAACTCCTGGCCTCAGGTGATCCGCTCGCCTTGGCCTCCCAAAGTGCCTATTCTGTTCTATTCGGGTTACTAGATCTTCACCCGGAAACGGTCCTCGGCCCATTTGGCCCATGCTCCAAGCTTGAGAGTACTTCGGTATCTGGTGGCTGTTTGGTGGCAAAAGTTTGCCGAGGGCAGGGCAGGAAAGGCCTGGCTTCTTTTATAGGATCCCTTGAGGCTGTGTTGAAAACAGTCTTGGGGTGGGAGCAGGAGGGCCTGCGGCAAAGCAGGCAGCAGGTGATGACAGTGGCCAGTGGAGGGGACCCGGGTGGCCGGGGCGGGCTGGAGGGAAGAGCAGCGTCCCAGACTATTTGGAGGCTGGTGAGCCGAATTGATGATAGGCTCAGGGGGAGGTGTGAGAGGAAGAGTGGGGGAGCAGAGAGTCTGAGGTTTTGGGTTCCAACCAGTGAGAGGGAGGAGCAGTTCTTGGGGAGCACGGGGGCTCAGTCTTGATGCGTTCAGCCCCCAGGAGACGTCGTGGTTTCAGGGGATTTGACAGTTTGGAGCTCAGGGAGAGGCTAGGGCTGGTGGTGTCCACGAGTCTCCAGCTCCCTGATGGTGTTTAAAGCTGAGAGGCTGCATGGCGTCACTGACGGAGTGGGCGTCATGGAGAAGCGGACCAGGGCCTAGGCTGGGACCACCAACATTTCCCCCTGCGGAAATCCGGAGACCTCCAGCATTTGCTAAATCTGACGGTGGGAGACAGACCCCAGGGAGAGAGGCTCAGAGGGTGGACACTGCCCAGGCCTTCCCGAGGAGAGCCAGGTGCCGGAACAAGGAGACAAATTGGACCCAGCCTGTGGCCTCCAGGATGCCATTGTTTGGTGGAAGAGACGGAGAGATAAATTTCTGTAACCAGGGAGTTTTGCTAACTGCTGTTAGTGACAGGAGGAACAGAGGGCTGAGGAACACATAGCAGGGGCCCCTAAAGTAGCTGGAGGAGTGTCAGGGAAGGCTTCCTGGGGGAGGTGATGCCTGAGCTGGGAGCTAGAGGGTGGAAAGAGGGCACAGCATGTGCAGAGGATCAGAGGTGTGGGCCCGTGTGTGTGTGCGTGTGTGTGAGACAGAGAGAGAGAGAGAGAGAGAGAGAGACAGACAGAGAGAGAGAGAAGCCCCAAGAGTGGGCAGGAAGTAATGAGATCAGACTACATCAGGCAGGCTGGCCAGGTGGCCCCTCACTGGCCACAGGGAGGCTGGCCTTTATCCCAAGGGTGGTAGGGAGCCATGGAAGGTGTTAGTGGCTGGTGGTGGAGGTGGATGTTATCCGATTCTGGTCCTGGCAGGAAAACATATCTGAGGGATAGAGGCAGTCTTGCAATAGTCCAGTGAGAGGTGATAGTGGTTCAGAAGCAGGGCTGTGGCCATGGGCCTTGGGAGACAGCCTGGCTCCCTCCTGCCCCTTCCTGTGTCAAACCTGGCTCCTGGCCTCCTGGCCTCCTATGCCTCAGTTTCCCCTGAAATACAAGTAGGTGAGCCTGACTTCACTGTCAACTCTTCCTTGCTCTTTTACACACAATCTTGTTTTATTCTCACAGCCACTACTCACAGCCATCTACCCCTTTTGTAGATGGGTAAACTGAGGCTCAAGGCGGGGGCTGTTCTGATCTGAAGGGGTAATTCCTGGAAAGGAGGGAGGGGATTGTGGATAAGCAGAGGGGAGCATTGCAATTGGAGGCCCTGAGCTTCGAGGGAGGAAAGGGCTAAGCCACGAGTGTGGCCCCAGTGGGGGCTGAGAGAGAGTCTGGGGGCTTTAAAGAGGTGGGGCACTTGGAAAGGGTCCAGAATTGTCCTGAGTCCTGGGCCGGGCAGTCCCAGGGCCGGGGAGGCCCTCAAAGGCCCTTGAGGTGCTCACTGGGTGAGAGGACCCACTTGGGCAGCTGAGAAGCTCTGCCCGTGTTGGGCCGGGCGTGAAATGGGAAGGACAACAGTCCCCAGCCTGGCGTGTCTTTGTCCCCAGCCTGGCTTGTCTTTGTCACATCCATGTGCTTCCTCTACCTCTCATTCAGAGTTTGGGTTTGGATTATGTAGGGGCTGAGCAGCTTTAGCTGCCTGGGAGGCGGCGGGGAGAGGTCCGTGGGTTCGAATGTCAGCCTGGCACTTGCCAACCCTGTTCCATCGCTCAGCCTCCTTTTCTTCGTCTGGGAAGAGAACAGATGAAAACACCTGCCTTGTGAGGTTTGAGGGTCGCTGGGGGCAGGTGCATGTCCAATCTGGGAGAGCTGGACTGGGCTGTGAGGCGGCATTTCCGAGATGGCTTTCACAGGGGGTTTGTGTGGCTGTGAAGGTGTGACGTCTCCCTAGTGGCGCGGTGTCCCAGGGCCTGGGTGTGGGTCTGTTCACATACAGTTTGTGTCCTGATAATGGGTTTAAGGTTGTGTTACGTGACTGTGGAGGAGCCGAGTGCAGCTGTGTGTGCGTGTGCGTGTGCGTGTGTGTGCGCGTGTGTGTGCGTGTGTGTGTGCGTGTGTGTGTGCGTGCGTGCATGTGTGCGTGCGTGTGTGTGTGCGTGCACGTGTGTGTGCGCGTGTGTGTGTGCGCGTGTGTGTGTGTGTGTGTGAGATAGAAAAGGGTGAGATGCTGCCCAGGTGTGTGGTTGTGGTTGGGTCCCTGTGGCTGCTCTGGAAAGGGGGCGAGGGTATGTGTTTAGACTGTGGGCTGCGTACACCCTGAAGTTGTGTGTCTACAAAGGCTGAGTTGTGTGTGTTATATGTTGTCCTGAAGCAGCGTGTGACCATGAGAGGGGTGTGTGTGTCACTGGAGGAGTACAGAGTCCATCTGGGGCCTGGTGTTGGTAGGCTGTGGATTGGTCTGGGGTGTCGCTTGGGCCGACGTGAGTCCTGACCCCTTCTTCTCCTTCCTAGACATTCGTCTTCACCGACAGCCCAGACAAAGGCCTCCAGGAGAGACTGGGTAACTCTGCCTTGCCTGGGTGGGGGTCTTTAGCTGTTGCCCAGGAAAGCTGGGGTGGCTGTGTCCTGGCCTGAGGGTTTCCAGGAAATGGGCTGCCCACCCTTGGCATGTGGGGATCCCCCTTTGCCCAGGAGGGAAGTGGGCCTCTTCCCTGGAAACTGGTGTGGGCGTGGGTAGGGGAGGAGCTGTGCTGGACAAGGCCCTGGACACCTGAGTGCCAGTCCAGCCTGCTGTCCACTAGCTCTGTGGTCCTGGGCAGGTCTGCCTTCCCGGGGCCTCAGTGTTACCATGTGTAAAATGGGAGTGGGTGGGCCGCTCCAGCCTCCCTGTAGTCCAGCCTTGCTCTGTATTCTGTGTTCAGGGCTGTGAAGGGGGGAGCTGGGCAGGGTCCCCTGACTCCTCACTTCTCCAGGGTCCCACCTTGTGGTCACCAACTGCTCCGCGGAACACAGCCACCCAGCTCTGTCCTGCAAGATGGCTGCTGAGTTCGACACCTTCTTGGCCAGTGGGCTTAGGCAAGTGTTCCTGGGTCTCTGGGGATAGGTGTGGTCTGGGCCCAGTGAAAATAACCCGTGGGCCTCCTGGGGTCTGACTTTAGCCCCCACTCCCCTAGCAGGCAGTGGGCAGATGAAGTCCAGCTGGGTTCCAGTCCTGCCATTCAGGATTGGATATGTGACCTTGGGAAAATGACTTTTTTTTTTTTTTGAGATAGTTTCACTCTTGTCGCCCAGGCTGGAGTGCAATGGTGCGGTCTCGGCTCATTGAAACCTCTGCCTCCTGGATTCAAGCGATTCTCCTGCCTCAGCCTCCCGAGTAGCTGGGATGACAGATGCCCACCATCACGCCTGGCTAACTTTTGTAATTTTAGTAGAGATGGGGGTTTCACCATGTTGGCCAGGCTGGTCTCGAACTCCCGACCTCAGGTGATTCACCCGCCTCGGCCTCCTAAAGTGCTGGGCTTACAGGCGTGAGCCACCACACCTGGCCAGGGCGAGTGTCTTAACCTCTTAGTCTTGGTCCTCAACTGTGAAGTGGGTACCCTCCTCACGAGCTTACACAATATGCAACTTGGCACAAAACAGATGCCTTAAATGTCAGCCTCCCCCACCCCTACCCCCATTCTGTCACTGTTGACCGACTGTGGGGGTGCTTGGGGACCCTGGCTTGGAACTCTCCACCCCGCAACAAGTTCACTCTCCCCATTTCATCCCTACAGGTGGTTCTGCCACGTGGACGATGACAACTATGTGAACCCAAGAGCGCTACTGCAGCTGCTGAAAGGCTTCCCGCTGGACAGCGACGTCTACGTGGGAAGGCCCAGCCTGAACCGGCCCATCCGCGCCTCAGAGCCACAGCCCCACAACCGCACGGTGGGTCCCTCTCCTCCTCCTTTGCCTCTTGGCCCATTGGTCCCAGGGCCAGGCCAGTCCCAGGGGCGGGGGTGTGCTAGAGAGGTGAGAGGGGTTCTGGGTTGTGGGTTTGGCCCCAGGTGGGTTTGGCACCTGTAGTCCCAACTTCTTGGGAGGCTGAGAGAGAGAATCGCTTGAACCCGGGAGGCAGAGGTTGCAGTGAGCTGAGATGGCGACATTGCACTCCAACCTGGGTGGCAGAGCGAGACTCCATCTCAAAAAAAAAAAAAAAAAAAAAATTTGCTGGAATACTGTGGGGCTGGGTGATCAATTGCTGCTGCCTGAGCCCCAGAACCCTTCCCCCACTTCCCCTCCTTGGGCACCCTCTCTCTCCAGACACCTCCACTAGCCTGTGACTGAAGAGTTGACACCTGGCACAACAGGGGGCTCCATACCCACCTCAGTTCCTGACCTGGATGGATGCTGATTCGGGTTGCCAGATTCATTAAACAAATAAATGAAAAACCACTACATCCAGTTAAACTTGACTTTCAAATAAATAATGAGGAATTTTTTAGTATAAGTATGTCCCAAATATTGCATGGTTCTTTCCCTGTCCACAGGACCCACTGGATATCAGGTGTTAGAGTGGTCCAGGACCTAGGGCTCCCTTGGCCCAAGGAAAAAGGCAGGTTGGGAGGTCCCTCTCTAGAGGCAGTGCCTGGTGCAGGAGCTGGGCACACAGCAGGGCTCAACCTCCCTTCTCAGGTCACCATCTGCTTCATTAGGAAAAAAACAAGAGCAGAAAACACAAAACCTTAATTATCAGTAGCTAATCAGCCTCTGAGCCTTAATTAAATTCTTCTGGGCCCTGGGGTTCTGTGTGTGAGTGATTCCAGGGGAGCCAGGGAGTCCCCCAGGCTCCCATACCACTTCACTACTGGCCACTCACCTCTGCCTAAGCCATTTGCCTCTGGGGTGGAGAACTGCGCGCTGGAGCCTGACTCCCTGGGTTTACATGGCAGCCCTGCCATCTCCTGGCTTTGTGACCTTGATGAAGTCACCTCACCTCTCTGTGCCTCAGTTTCCTAATCTGTGAAATGGGTAATAATAGCCCGTACTCAAAGAGTGGTTGTGAACATAGAAGAAAGAATGAAATGAGGTTATCTATCCAAGTCCTTGGAATGAGACCTGGCACAAAGTCAACACTAGAAAGTGTTAGTGATCTGAGGCCAGGCGCGGTGGCTCATGTCTGTAATCCCAGCACTTTGGGAGGCCGAGGTGGATGAATCACCTGAGGTCAGGAGTTTGAGACCAGCCTGGCCAGCCAACATATAGTGAAACCCCATCTCTACTAAAAAATACAAAAGTTAGTTGGGCGTGGTGACGCACGCCTATAGTCCCAGCTACTTGGGAAGCGGAGGCAGGAGAATTGCTTGAACCTGGGAGACGGAGGCTGCAGTGAGCCGAGATCGCAACACTGCACTTACACTTGAGCCTGGGCAACAGAGCAAGACTCTGTCTCTGAAAAAAAAAAAAAGAAAGGAAGTGTTAGTGATCCGTATTGGACACAGCCTGACCTTCGTTTCCCAGCCACATCTTTCCTCTGCACACTCAGGCCCCGTCAACCTAGGCCCACCTCTGTGGCCCAGGAGAGCAGGTGCAGTGTTTGGCAGCCCCTCCCAAGCCACATGGAGTGAGGTAGAAACCTTTCTCAGGGGAAAGGGGCACAGTGGCCTTTTAGTAGAGACAGGGTTTCACCATGTTGGCCAGGCTGGTCTCGAACTCCTGACCTCAAGTGATTCACCCACCTCAGCCTCCCAAAGAAAGTGCTGGGATTACAGGCATGAGCCACCTAAACAGAGTCTTGCGGGATGGGCTGGAGTCAGCCAATGCTGAGGGGAGAGAGGAACAGAGTCCCAGGCAAGGACTTCAACTGACCGCACACACCCCATTAATGCCGCTGCCCTGGATGCCTGGCCAAGGGGCAAGTGGGTAAACCAGTACTCGTCCCCTTTAACTGGAATCCAGCTGGACTTGAGTCTGATCAGTGACCTCATCACTCCTAATTAACTATGTGACTTCGGGCCTCTGTTTTCTTATCTATAGAATGGGCACAGTAGTGCCAGACCGTAGCAAGATTCTAGTGAGATTCAAAATAAAGAGCTTTTGAGCCATGCGGGTTGGGGGTGAAGGGTAGCCTGGCTGTCCCTTTCCCCCACAAATCCCACCAGGCTCACTCTGCCCCTTGGCCTCCTCTCCCTCAGAGGCTGGTACAGTTCTGGTTCGCCACCGGGGGTGCTGGCTTCTGCATCAATCGCAAACTGGCTTTGAAGATGGCTCCGTGGGCCAGGTAAGCAGAGACCCCGAGGTGGGCAGGAAGGCGGGGGGGGGGTGGCGGCTGGGGTACAGGAGGGGCCTTGGCAGCAGGAAGGGCTTTGAGAGTGAGCTCAGGAGAAGCTGCTCCTCATTCATGTGTGTCACAGTGCGGCAGTTAGTGGCGAGCAAACCACCTGCCACCTGCCCTCGGGGCTGCGCGGCCGAGTGTATGACTTGCCACACACAGGCGAGTCAATCATCTCCAAGAGCCCCAGTGCCTCCGTCTGCCCATGGGCCTGATAATACAATGGCCAGTGGTGTGGTAAGGGTTCAGTGAGAAAATGTCTGGGCTGGCCCTGGTAGGTGCTATTTGCTGCCCTTTTCTGACCGGTCAGTGCCGTAGGGGAGGCGAAGGCCGAATGTAAGGGCCTTCAGAGGAGGGAGAAGGGCCTTCTGGTTGAGGGCAGAAGGGAAGACTTCCAGGAAGAGGTGGTATTTGAGCTGGGTCAGCCCCACGTACACTACACTGGGCCATCTAAGGGAGATGATGTTACTCCTAATATCACAGTGGGTGTACACCCTGTGATATTACTCATCATACCATCGAAGGGAGATGATATCACTCCCAATATCATGAGGGGATCTCAGGGGTAGTGGAGGCCGCAGTGTGGGTGGGGGTGGGACACTGGTATTCCAGAAGTGGCAAGGCCTGGCCTCCGGAGGTCTTTCCGGGCTGTTGTTATTATTAACAGCACCATCAGCGGCCACTCTCTTGTATTGAGGCTGACTCTGAGCCAGCTCTGTGCTCCATCAACAGGATCACAATGCCTCAGGGAGAAGGTGGCCTTAGCCTTGTGTTTCTAGATCTCAGGCGACTGAGGCGCTGAGATGAAGCCAGTCTGAGGTCAGCCAGGTTCAAGGTCACTCAGCTGCTGGGTTTGGCTCCAAGGTCTGCAAGCCTTGCTACTACCCAAGCCTGCCCTGCCTTGCCTGGCTGGGAGGGGCCCCCCGGGACACGAGCGGGCTCATTGTCCTGGGGCCTGTCCACAGAGCTGTGTGTGTACACATGACCAGGGTCATCCCTGTGCCTGGGATGCCCCCACCCAGGCTTCTGCCAACCTCTAAATTACCTTTGTGTGAATTAGAAAAAGCCCACTGCCTCCAAATCCTGCAGGTGCAGCTTGAGGGCTCGCAGGCTGGGGAGGGGAGTACAGGCTGGATTTCTGCACCCATTTGCCCCTTGGCCAAGCATCCAGGGCGGCAGCATAAATGGGGTGTGTGCGGCCAGTTGAAGTCCTTGCCTGGGACTCTGTTCCTCTCTTCCCTCAGCACTGGCTGACTCCAGCCCATCCTGCAAGACTGCTTAGGTGACTCATGCCTGTAATCCCAGCACTTTGGGAGGTTGAGGTGGGTGAATCACTTGAGGTCAGGAGTTTGAGACCAGCCTGGCCAACATGGTGAAACCCCGTCTCTACTAAAAATACAAAAATTAGCCGGGTGTGGCGGCGGGCTCAGGAGGCTGAGGCAGGAGAATCGCTTAAACCCGGGAGGTGGAAGTTGCAGTGAGCCGAGATTGCACCACTGCACTCCAGCTGGGCAATGAAGGGAGACTCTGTCTCAAAAACAAACAAACAAACAAACAAACACAAAAAAGCTACCACCTCCTCTGGGAAGCCTGCCTGATTCTTCCTATACCCCCAGGCAGCGTGCTTCCCTCTGACTTAGCACCATTCTTTGAAAGACCTGCTCCCTGCTCTGTCTCCCTCCAGAATAGGGACTGCTGTTGGGGGCAGGAAGCGTTTCTTTCTCATCTCTGTATCCTCAGCCCTAGTGTAGTATCTGGCATCAGCAATGAATAAATGAGTGAATGAATGAATAACAAGACAGGGAGAGAAGGAAAGGCTACATTTATAAAGGGCCTCACCTTCCCATTCCCTGTTTAATCCTCACAACAGCCCCGTGAAGACAGGGCCATTAGCATCCCCATTTCATAGAACAGGAGACTGAAGCTGAGGCTCCCCAAGGTTCCCAACTTGCTGAAGGTCATACAGTAAGCAGGAGGCAGGTGCTCTACTCTGCCAGCTTGTCCCACGGGAGGGCCTTCATAGGGTAGCCCACGTTTTTGGGTGTGGAGGGCCTGGGCCAGGGTCTACAGTCTGGCTCTGTCCCTCAGCGGCTCCCGTTTCATGGACACATCCGCTCTCATCCGGCTGCCTGATGACTGCACCATGGGCTATATCATTGAGTGCAAGCTGGGCGGCCGCCTGCAGCCCAGCCCCCTCTTCCACTCCCACCTGGAGACCCTGCAGCTGCTGAGGACTGCGCAGCTCCCAGAACAGGTGAGCTGGCCTTGGGGCAGGTGGCAAATGGGAAGGGGGAACCAAAGGAACGTGAGGTCTCCCCAACCCTCCCTCCTGGTGTGTGAAAGAAACCTGGAACTCCAGATTATGGGGCTTGGCTGTTCCCTATTGATGGGGAAACTGAGGCCTAGGGTGGCAAAGGACCCCCTAAGGGTACACAGGGACTCAACCCCTTCACCTCTAACCCTCAAGGATTAGCACTTGTGAAGCTGAAATTCTTTGATCTGGTCCTCAAATGCCAGCCGGAAGGACCTGAACAGATGAGATTAGGCTGTCTCCAGGTTCCCAACACCCTGCTCCCCACCGCTGCCTCTACTCAGTCTTCCATCCTCCCCACATTCCTCCCGGGGAGCCCAGCTGGCCCTTTCTGATTTTCCCCGTTGGGAGCCCCCTCCTTCATCAAAACTCCCCTGTCCATTGCTCAGTGCTGTTCCTGCCAACCCTGAGGTTACCGGGATGGAGTGGGTCTTCGGGGGGATGCGCAGCATTACGTTAGGCTGGGGGAGAAGGGGGACCCCCATCCCACCACCTGGCAGGTAATACAGGTCCAACTGGCTCTGCCTCGGAGAGGCTGCCCTCTGACGCTGTAGATGGTCCTGGCTGGGAGTGTGCCCGGAATCTCCTGCCTAACAGTGTGACAGAAACTCAACATAGACTGGCTAACCTGAAAAGGAAATGGTTGGCTCACATAACTGAGAAGCTGAGGGCCTGGCTGGCTAGGTCCGGCGGGGTCTAGGCGTGCAGATGGCCTCCCAGACTTCTCCACTCTAGTCCGCTCTCCCCCAAGTTGGCCCGTCCTCAAGCAGGCTCAGCCTTCATGTTGGCAAGATGGCAGCCCCAGCGTTCCCCCACCATCGGAGGAGAGCGCCTCCTTCCTTCAGATCCCAGGGCTGGCATTCATGGGTCTGACGGCTTAGCTTGGGTCACGTGACCGATCTCCTACCAGCACCTGGAGTTAGTGTTGATTGGCCAGGCCTGGAACTGGGGTGTGAGGTTGGTCCTATTAAGATGGCAGGGCCTGAAGCCAGGAAAAGGAGGCAGATTTGAGGCAGCCCAAACCAGGGCACCCTACTGGTTATGGTATCCTGAGTACCCACAATGCCAGGCACCACGCTGAGGGCTTTCCCTTCTTCTTCTTCTTCTTCTTTTTTTTTTTTTTTTTGAGATGGAGTCTCACTCTGTTGCCCAGGCTGGAGTGCAATGGCACGATTTTGGCTCACTGCAACTTCCACCTCCCGGGTTCAAGTGATTCTCCTGCCTCAGCCTCCTGAGTAGCTGGGACTACAGGCACCCACCACCATGCCAAGCTATTTTTTGTATTTTTAGTAGAGACAGGGTTTCACCATGTTGGCCAGGCTGGTCTCGAACTCCTGACCTCAAGTAATCCACCTGCCTCAGCCTTCCAAAGTTCTGGGATTACAGGCATGAGCCACCGAGCCCAGCCACCCTTCTTTAACTCTCTGTTTCCTCACAGTATTTACATGAGGTCAGTACTAACATTATCCCCATTCTATAGATGGGGAAAATGAGACCAGCGAGCTGAACTGACCACGGCACACAGCTAATATGGGGCAGAGGGGCACTGGAACCCTAGCTGGGTGGTCCCTATGCCCGCAGTCTTTAACCACTGTGCTCTGCAGCCTCTGAGCTGAAATCATGATCCATGTCGTCACTGACTGGTGCAGTACAGGCTCTGGGTGAAGAGGGATGTGCCAGGGCCCTCCAGTGAGTCCCAGAAAACCTCCATTCTAGTCCAGGCATGCAGCTTACTGGAAAGGTGCCTTTTTCTGTTGAGCCTCAGTTTCCAAATCTGTAGATGGGGTATTGTTCCAGCCTCTCAGGGGAGCTCAACTCTTGAAGGAGCAAATGAGATTAAGGGCATGGCAGTGCTTTTCCAGCTGTGAAGTGCCTTGGGGCGTGGGGTGGGCTCCCACCACCAGTGGGGAATTTCAGGTTCCGGGGCAGCTTTCCCTGCAGCTTAAACGCCCTCCTCTACCAGTGCCAGGATGCTGCCCCCTTGTGGGGATCCCCAGTGCGACACCCCAACACTCACTGTTTTATCTCCTTGCCCAGGTCACCCTCAGCTACGGTGTCTTTGAGGGGAAACTCAACGTCATTAAGCTACAGGGCCCCTTCTCCGCGGAGGAGGACCCCTCCAGGTGGGTCTGAGGGCTGGAACCTTGGATGGGAGGAGTGGGGGCTGAGTCCAGGCATCCAAACATGGGGGAGCTGTGAGGGAGCGGAGTTGGACAGGTTTTGGTGGCTGACAGCGCAGAGCTAGGAGTGGACGGAGTGGATTTCAGTTTCTGACCCTGCCACTGGCTTGCTGTGTGACCTTGGGCAAGTGTCTTGCCCTCTCTGGGACTCAGTCTCCCATTAGTAACACCTGGACGCTGGCCATCGTGGATCTGAAGAGCTCTCTCAGCCCCAATCCTCTGGGTTCTTCAGGAGTCCCTGGAAGGCTGAAATGCCTTCCCTGAGCACAGGCAATGCTCTCATGGTGGAACTTCAGGTTCTAATGGGGGATTTTTATTTTATCTCTTTTGGACTTATTGTTTCTTTGATACTCTTAAATGTTTCTTTTAGGTAGGTAAAGGGTTGGAATAATGACTTCCAGTTCTGCCCAGAACTGGCCACGGGAAGATGGGCCACTCAAATCCGCTCCTGACTGGTCTAGAGCAGTCTTGGAACATAGCCTGTGATATGCAGCTTCCTTTCCACACACCAGCACCTGCCAGCCATGGCTGGTTTTTTTTCCTTTTTTTTTCTTTTTTTTTTTTTTTTTGAGATGGAGTCTCACTCTGTCGCCCAGGCTGGAGTGCAGTGGCACGATCTCAACTCACTGCAACCTCCACCTCCCGGGTTCAAGCGATTCTCCTGCCTTGGCTTCCCAAGTAGCTGGGATTACAGGCACCTACCACCATGCCTGGCTAATTTTTGTGTTTTTAGTGGAGGTGGGGTTTCACCGTGTTGGCCGGGCTGGTTTCTAACTCCTGACCTCAAGTGATCCACCTGCCTCGACCTCCCAAAGTGCTGGGATTATAGGCATGAGCCGTTGCCCCCGGCCCAGCTATGGCTTGTGATGCTGGCCAGGGGTGGTGGGATGGGGGTGGAGAGGAGTAGGGGGAGGGGACACATGGACTCTGGGCCCATCAGTCCAACCCCAGAACTGATGCTTGACCCCTCCCAGCATCTCCACCAACTGATGGGCTGGCTTCACCTTGCATGCCTTCAGCCATGGGGAGCTCCTCCCTCCTGTGGCAGTCTGTTCCATCTCTAGGCAGCTGAACTGGCCCCAGCCCTTCTATTTCCATTTCTGCTCCCTGTAGTGACATGCAGTAGGTCTAGAAACTGGGGAAGGAGGCCTGATCCTACCTTTGGGGACTGAGCAGGGACTCAGGGAGGTAATGAGTAGAGGAGGGCATGGGTGAACTCTGGGTCCACTTGAGTGACAGAGACTTATCCAGACGGATTCCTGGGGGATGGGGAGTCCAGGAGACTGTGTGTGTAGGGGATGAGGGTGAGTATGCAGGTACAGGCTGTTATGGGAGAGTAAGCCAGAGCCCTGATATTGACTGGGGAGTAGTGGCTGGCCGGGGAAGGCTTCTCTGAGGAGGTAACATGAGGGACCTGAAGGGCTAGCAGGAGTTCGCTAGGAGAAGAGCAGGTGGCAGATCGCTCCCGCAGAGGGGACAGCATATGCAAAAACCTGGTGGCAGGAGACAGGCCTTGACCTGCTCAAGGTAGGAAAGGGAGCCTGTGTGACCAGAATGTGGAGAAGAGGAAGGAATGGTGTCAGATTTAGTTGGGGACGTGGCAGGGGGCCTCTCCAAGGCCTTTGTAGGCTCTGTCTGGACGCTTGCGATGCTTGGGGGAACCAGGGCCCCTGGCCTTGACATTCTGCAGTGCTGCCTCTCCCGGGGCAGAGGGCTCCCACGATGCTGAGGGCCCTTGCGGCCAAGGCTGCATTGAACAAGTTGGGTATTACAAGGAGACAGAATTTGGCTTGATATAGGAACAAAAATTCAAAATTCCAAGATGGATGAAGCTGCCTTCTAATAGAATGAGCTCCCGTCAGCAGAAGTGTGTAAGCCATAGCTATACTGACAAGAGGTTTAAGAATTGCTGTTAAATTTCCTCAAAGCCCACAGATTTTAGAAGTCATAGATTACTGTCAAATGGGTCTGGAGCCACTTAGAGATTCAGATGCATATGGTCAGATGATTGGCCTTAGCTGAGGTCTCTTTATGGCTTCTCTGGCTTTTGAAGTTTCTCCAAACCAGCAGTTCTCAAGTGGGGGTGATTTGTCTCCTAGGGGACATGTGGCAATGTTGGAGACATTTTTGATTATTGTGATTCGGGAAGATGCTACTGGAATCTTGTGGATAGAGCCCAGGAATGCTGTTAAATATCTCGCAAGGCACAGGACGGCTCCACAACAAAGAATTCTCTGGCCCTAAGTGTTAGTGGTGTTGAGTTAGAGAAACCCTGCTCCAAATCGTCTCTGTGGCATGTGTCCACCTAGGAGAGCGGGCTGAGAGCAGAAGTGGGGGTGACCATCCTGTTCCTTTTCTGGTTTCTCTGCAGGTTTCGCTCCCTCCATTGTCTCCTCTACCCAGATACACCCTGGTGTCCTCAGCTGGGTGCCCGATGAATCCTGAACTGCTGGGCAAAGGTTGGGCAGAGGCTTCTGGGTGTGCCTTGGCTCGCAAGGTGGCACTGAGGGTCCCTGGCAAATGTCTTGTGATAGGCAGTCCCTGGCAGGGCCTTCGGGTGGTTGGCAAGCCCAGGATCTGGGTGACAATTGGCACTGAAGGCACCCCAGGCCCCTGGGAGGTGAGTTAGACAGCCCAGGGGACCAGGTGGACCAGGTGATGGCCAGAGAAGCTCCAGGGGCCAGACTCCCTCAGGAGGCTGAACTGAAAAAGGGCAGGGGGCACTTAGCTGGCCTGGGGCTCAGGGGTCCTAACCCTTTAGGCAGTGACATGGCCTCTGGGTGGGGTCTGGCCCTTGGCCCTGGCTCATGTCTCTCAGTCATTCCCCTGGGGCTCAAGCACTGGGCCGCCCACTCCTGCCTCCCTTGCCTGGGTCCTGGGTTCCTGAAGGGATATGGAAATGATGGCGGAATCCAGGCTCTGAAGCACCTGCTGTTGTTGCCAACCAGTCTCCCAAAGCTCCTTGCTCCCCACCCCTTGCTAACAGGACCAGATTTGGTTTGGATCCTCAGCATGCTAGGACCCAGATGATGGAGCATAATGGGTCCCAGCCAATCGTGATGATCCTTTTTGCTCATTTCCCAGCCTCCCTTGCTGTTAGGGGTTACCATGGGACCAGCTCTGGCCAGAGGGAACTAAGCAAATCCAATAGAGACATTTCTGGGGAAGGTTTTGCAGCCCACTCCCCATCTTCCTGCTGTGAATGTGGGTGTGATGGCTGGATCTGGGGCAGCCACCTTGCTACCATGAAGGAAAGGCCAAGACAATCATCCCAGCTATTCCCTCCAGCATCTGGTTCTGTACGAAAATTAAATGCTTATTTGTTTAAGTCTCTCTTGGTCTGGTTTTCTGTTACATGCAGCCAAAATGTTCCTGACGAGGGTAGGGTCTTTATCTGTCTATCACAGTGGAGATGGCAGTCACTTTTGGTGGTGTGATATGATGCGTGCAAAGACCATGTTACAGAGCCTGGCACAGAGAAAGGAAGGGCACAGTGGATGGTGACTGTTACTAGTGTGTTTGTGAGTCATAGTGTGTGAGGCAGTGCACAGGTGTGTGTGTGTGTGTGTGTGTGTGTGTGTGTGTGGCATGTACCTTCTACATGTGTCTGTGCATAAAGATGTACATGTGTTTTTTTTTTTTTTTGACAGAGTCTCACTCTGTTACCAGGCTGGAGTGCAGTGGCACAATCTTGGCTCACTGCAACCTCCACCTCCTGGGTTCAAGCAATTCTCCCAATTCTCCTGCCTCAGCCTCCTGAGTAGCTGGGATTACAGACACGTGCCACCATGCCCAGCTAATTTCTGTATTTTTAGTAGAGACAGGGTTTCACCATGTTGGCCAGGATGGTCTCAATCTCCTGACCTTGAGATCCGCCCACCTCGGCCTCCCAAAGTGCTGGGATTACAGGCGTAAGCCACCGCGCCCAGCCTGTGGTGTGTGTTTTTGTGGCTGTGTTGCACATGTGTACATGATGTGTACATGTAAGCGTGTGTGCTGTGAGGTGTGGAGTGGTTCCTCCTTTTCTCTGCCCCTGGGTTGGGGGAGGTCAGAGAATCAGGGAAGGCGGAATGGAGACTCCGGGCTCAGGGACTTAGCCTCAGGTATCAGCCAAAGGGCGATTTGACAGCAAAGGGCAGGAACTGAATAAACACAAGTGCCCTTGGAATGTCAGATCCCAAGGAGGTGGATGGATGAGTGAAAGTGATCATGGTGAAATTTCAGGTATGGCGGCATGTAGGCAGGGAAGGGTTAGAGAGGACAGGTCTGTATCATGCCCAGTGATGCTAGGAGTTGGAGTCACAGTGGGCCTCTCAGATGGGGAAGGAAGAGGAGGGATCCTGAGGGCCAGAGGGGCCCTGACACAGGGAGCTAGGGCCAGGGGCTCCACCCCTGAAGAATCAGGAACTGTCTTCTGGCTACATCTGTGTTGGGGACATCTGGAACCACTGAGCACCTGAAGCTGGCCCCTTGTTTTCCAGGGAGGAGAGGTCCGGAGAGGGACTGCCACGTGCTGTGGTCACACAGTGAGTTGGGTGCAGCCGGCCTCTTGTGCTTCTCCAAAGCCCCGTTTCTTTCTGGGCTGGCCCAGGGCTGGGTTTATGGAATGCCAGTCAAGTGAGGGCAGCCTCTGGCCCTGCAGCCCGGTAGGGCTGGAATGGTGCCATCCATAGCCGCCGTCCTCCCCACCCCACCCAGGGAAGGCTGCTCGTCGGCCCACATTTAGACGCAGCAGCAGATTTTCGGGTTGCTCCCAGATCCTGAGGGTCGGGTGGAGGGAACGGGACTTGGGCCATCTGCTGCCTCCATTGTCCCAGAATAGCTGGGGGTAGGGAGGGGGAGCAGAGTCAGCAAGGATCAGAATTGGGATGGAGGAAGGAGGGAGTCTGAGTTTAACCCTTTGCGTGTCTGCCTGGGAAGTTAGGAAGCTCCCTGTGCCCTGTGCCGAAGTGACCCATCTGGGGCCCAGAGGGAGGGGCTGAGTGTGGGGTGGGGTAGCAAGGTTAGGCCACCTAGTCTTGGCCTTGCCATGCCCCTTGGGCACATAGCTGCCGCTCAGCGTCCTCGCGTTTAGCCTGAGCCCTGCCTGTCCATTTTAGGGTGCATGTGGATGGGATACTTTGAGGACCATGGGTGGTCACTGATCCTTCGGCTGGTTGGCTGAGGGTAGGCCCCCATGATAACAGGGACAGAGAGTGACGCCAGAACAGGAGCCCTGGCCTGGGGCAGACATTAGAAGGAGCCTGGAGATCTTCTCCAGGGGTCTATGGCTTCCTCATCCAGCCCCTATCCCCAGCAAGGAGTGTGCAGGGGGCCCAAGGTAAACCTCCTCACCTCCCAGCAATTTTTTTTTTTTTTTTGAGACAGAGTCTCACTCTGCCACCAAGGCTGGAGTGCAGTGGTGTGATCTTGGCTCACTGCAACCTCCACCTCCCGGGTTCAAGCGATTCTCGTGCTTCAGCCTCCTGAGTAGCTGGGATTATAGGCATGTGCCACTACGCCTGACTAATTTTTGTATTTTTAGTAGAGATGGGGTTTTGCCAAGTTGGCCAGGCTGGTCTTGAACTCCTGACCTCAAGTGATCTGCCCACCTTGGCCTCCCAAAGTGCTGGGATTATAGATGTGGGCCACCGCGCCTGGCCCTGGCAACCTCTTAATTGATGCACCTGCACCTGCTGTGAGTGAGGTGGACTCCACCCCGGGAGGCTGGTGAACTAGCATCTCAGCTTTGCCCTTCTGTAAGTATTGATGCCAACAGAACTGTAAATGTAAATAGCTACCATCAAGGGCATGCTGGTGGTCAGGCACTGTTCTAAGTGCTTGACATAAATTAATTCATTTCATTCCCACCTATTTGAAGTAGGTGCAATCATTATTCCTGTTTTACAGATTGGGAAACTGAGGCACAGAAGGGGAGAAGGTCCTTGGGCCAGGTCACAGGTCTCCTCGGTGCCAGAGCCAAGGTTGGAGGCAGCCTGACTCTGCAGTGGTCATCTCGCTGTGGGACGACTTTGAAGAGTTGGAGAACCTCCTCAGGCCTGGGCTCCACCCTGCTGCCCACCTGTGGCTCTAGGCCCTTAGGCAGGTGGCTTCACTCTTCACTGGCTTCATCTGTAAAATGGGCACAGTGACTCCTATGCAGCAGGATGTGAGGCTTTGAGATGCTGCCTAGAAAGCTCCTGATGCGGGGTAGTTGCTCAGTAAGTAGCACCTCTCTGTCCTTGCTGAGCTCACGTTCTCAGCAGTAAGAGGTAGGGGTACTGGGCTGGCCATCACCTCCACTCCCTGCCTGGGCTGTCATCACAGCAGCCTCCTCACTGCTCCCGTAGTCTTCTCTCCACTGCTCACTGGCTCCAGGCACAAGGGCCTCCTTGCTTGCTGTGGCAGGTGCCACGTTCTCTGCCAGCACCAGTTCTTGCCTCTCCTTGTATTGCACCCCCCATTCCTGCACAGCTGGCTTGTTCTTGTCAAGCTCCCATGTTCCATCTCTTAGGGAGGCTCCCCACTCCCATTACAGAGCAGCCACTCGTGGTCATCAATCACCTCCTGTTACAGTCACTCATAACCCGTCACCCTTGCAGACCTGCCTTCCAGGTATTTGTTTGTTGTCTACTCCCACCCAGCTGTGAGCTCCATGATCAGGGATCCCCTTGCTTCTGTTCCCTGCAGCTCGTGACCTGGCATAGTAGATGCTTAACAAATATTTGAGGAACAAATAGAAACGTAAGTGAATGGACTTCTCAGATCTCTTCCATCTCTGTCCGTATTTTAAGATTCTGTGAAAGGTACTGAAATAACTGAGGCAATGCAATGGGGGCTTCTTAATGGAGGGATCAGACTGGCAATAGCAGAATGCACCAAACCTTCTTCTTCTTCTTTTTTTTTTTTTTGAGACGGAGTCTCGCTCTGTCGCCCAGGTTGGACTGCAGTGGCGCGATCTCGGCTCACTGCAAGCTCCGCCTCCCAGGTTCATGCCATTCTCCTGCCTCAGCCTCCCGAGTAGCTGGGACTACTGGCGCCCACCACCACGCCTGGCTAATTTTTTGTATTTTTAGTAGAGACAGGGCTTCACCGTGTTAGCCAGGATGGTCTTGATCTCCTGACCTTGTGATCCACCCGTCTTGGCCTCCCAAAGTGCTGGGATTACAGGTGTGAGCCACTGCACCCGGCTGATCCTATGATTTCATGTGCTGGCCGTGGCCGGCGTCTTGAGCCCCTTTGCCTTCATTCTTCCCTAAGGGTGAGCAGTGCACCAGCGCCCCACACCTTCTTAGTATCGCCCAGAAAGCATTCTTAGTATGCTTCAGATGTGATCCCATAGGAAGGATGCAACACTTCCCAGGAAGTCTGCTAGCTAGAATAATTGACACTACATCACATCCACCCTCTGGACCTAAACGCCAGTCCACAGGAAGCAGGAGGACAGTGTAACATGTTAAATGACACCATGAGGGTTCGGTCCGCCACATCAACAATGAGGACAGTCTCACATGATGAAGGGCCTGGTTTCCTCAACAAGTAAAAGGGCATAAAAAGGAAGAGAGAAAGGACTGTTAGAGAGGAAAAGAGATTTAAGAAATAAAGCACCAAAATACAATGTATGGGCCAGGCACTGTAGCTCATGCCTGTAATCCCAACACTGGGAGGCCAAGGTGGGCAGATCACCTGAGGTCAGGAGTTTGAGACCAGCCTGGCCAACATGGAGAAACCCCATCTCTACTAAAAATACAGAAATTAGCCAGACGTGGTGGCAGGTGCCTGTAATCCCAGCTTCTCGGGAGGCTGAGGCAGGAGAATCACTTGAATCTGGGAGGCGAAGGTTGCAGTGAGCCAAGATCACACCGCTACACTCCAGCCTGGCCAACAAGACCTTGTTTAGATCTTTATTCAAACAGACAAACCCTAAAATGGCATTTTTCAGGACAATGAGAAAATTTGAAGATGGACTGCATATTAGAGGATCTTAAGGAATGGTTCATTTTATTAGGTGTGGTGATGATGTTGGACTTATTTTTAGAAATGTGCTAATGTGTGAGAGATACATTCTGAAATATTAATGGGTGAAATGATCTGATGTCTGACATTTTTGTTAAAAAGGGGCTTGAGGGAGGAATGGAATGAGAATGGCAAAGTGGAGATGGCGGTTAGAGCTGGGTGAGGGGTGCGTGGGAGTGCCTCATATCAGTCCCTCTACTTCTGTAGGGGTTTGAGATTTTCCACAATAAAAGTAAAATGGAATAAATAAAAGTGGGTCTGTACATACTTCATTTCTCTGGCTGTGGCCGTCCCCTTCCAGTTCTCCCCTCCTTCATGCCCCACATTCAGGCCCAGAG